TGGATGCCTACCTGGCTGGACTCATTTGAGTCCCGTTTCTCTTTTTGGGGTTTTTTGTTGCTCTCCCGCCCTGGCGGGGGGTCGGGCTAGAAGATCTACTAGGTCCCTTCCAACCCTTAATCTATGAATCTATGAAAGCATGGGCCTGAAGGGAGCTGAGGCTGTGTAGGGAGATGTGTGGGTGCAGTGGTCTAAGAAGGAGATGGGGAGGGCAGAGGTCAAGGGGGGAGGTGAGGGCATTCATGGCAGTTTGGGGCTGCAAGAGTAGGATGTGAGGATTTAGGGGGATGTGGGAAGCTGTGGGCATATAAGAGTGCTAAGGGGATGTGGGAAGCTCTGGCTGTGCTGAGCAATGGAGAATGCACAGGAAGACATATGAGAGTTTAGAGATGCTGGAGGGATATTTGGGGAACAAGATAGGCTATCAGAGCTGAAGGATGAAGTGTGGGGTGCTGCAGGGGGCAAGGGTGAAAATCCAAGCCTGGGCTGGAGAGAGACGCTGGGAGGTTTTGGGTGTTGCAGGCTGGGAGAGCTCAATGAGGTCCATGTGCCTCAGCTTGGAATCTGAGCACAAAATGCTTCCCCCGTGCTTCAGAGACAAACAGTTTCCCTTTTCAGGGCTCAGCAACTGGACAGCAGATAGGTTCCTCCCTTCCCTTAGCTCCTGATTTCTGGATCAGTTTTGTTCATAATCTGGAGCTGGTGGCAAAGCCTGTCTTGCACCAGGCTTGTTGACAGCTAGCTTCAGGCAAGAAAGGTGGCTTGGCGCTGCTCCTCTCTCTGGGCTTATGAGCACTGCTGGTTTCAGTGCAGGCTTCAGGAGGGGAGCAGTGAGGAGAGGCACACATCCTATTACAGCAACGTCATGGAAATACTGGGCTGCAAAAGCAGAACCACCATGTTTTCTTGGTTCTCTCAGGTCTGAAATTCACTCTCCTGTCTCCCCCAACCTCAAGAAATATGGCCCTGACCCTGCAAACAGCTTGGGGTGTTCTACATCTCCATAGATAGGGCTTTTCCCAGACACTGCTGGGCTGTAGGAGGAAGCAGCCACGTTTAAAGCCTTCCTAGCAGATGGCAAATGATGTGCTAGCCCTCAAAGCTGCATCACTTTGGGTAGCAGATGCCTCCTGTCCAATGTGGGCCATGCCTGGGTCTGAGTGGTCACTGCCAGCCCCACTCTTCTAACCTGTCACAAATCAACAGAGGCTGCAAGCTCAGAGTGAGAGAGGGTGGAGAAGAATCATGAAGGACCTCTTGTTTCATGTGCTCTGCTGAAGGAAGGGCTGTCATCACTGTCAGAGGAGCCTTGTAAACAGTTGGCACTGGCTCCAGTGGAAGTCTCTTAAGGGAGTCCCATCATGTGTGACTTGATCAACTCTACCCCAATGAATGCAAGGAGCACTGGGCAACTGAGGGAGCCAGAGGAGACAACCTGCTTGGTTGCAATGGGAATCTGATCCTTGGCTGAGTGTGGCCATGGCAATGTAAAGTCATGGCCGGGAACTGAATGGAGTTGTCAATGCCATCCCTACTTCACCATCAGCACTGAAACTCCCCTCCAATCTTTACAGCAGAGCCTGGCCTGGGAAAGTCAGTCCTGAGGACAGAGAAAGCTCTCTCTCTGCCCTGCCACATAGGATCTATGTGTGGAAGCAGAGTCCAGCCCAACATCAAGGGAAGGAGATCAGTTGTAGTCACCCTGTTATGCTTACCACTGGGAACAGGGGTGCCCAGCTCTCATTGTGAGCTACGGCAGTGGAAGAATAGGCCATGAGATTTGCATCTGGAATACCTGAGTAATGGGAGATCTGGGACTGTCAGTGGGGACTGCTGTTCTAGGGAATCCAGGGTGGGGGAGGCTGGGCTTCAGGCAGGGAAGATAGTGGCATGCTATTAACTGGAAGCAGGAACTGGGACCAGTGGTGATTGTGGCTGGGAGCTGCTGGAGATCATGGTCCTGAGGAATGATAACCATGGGCTGCCTTTTGCCACAGCTGTCATGGATCCAACTTTCCAGGAACCCCTCTGCTCCCAAGCCAATACAGTGCTGGCTCCAGATAAGTCTAGTTTGCCCCTCACCTCTCTGCTCCCCGTTCTAGCTGTCTCTTACGTGCCAAGTGATGGACTGAGTGGGAATTTGGTAACAATCTTGAAATACCTGAAGGCTGGTTATATGGATGATGGAGATAAACTATTCTCTGCGACTACAGAGGACAGCACAAGGATTAATGATAGTAAGTTGCAA